TCATTGATATACAATGCTACTCCACCACCTTTGCCTTTATTTCTGTCTTTCCTAAACAGCACATAGCCTTCAATACCTGTACTCCAGTCATGACTACTATTCCACCATGTTTCTGTTATACCTATAATATCCGGTTTCACTTCCTGCACCAGTAGCTCTAGTTCCTCCATTTTGTTACCTAGGCTCCTCGCATTAGTGTACAAACATCTTAATTTTTTGCCGTTTGGCTTCCTGACATCCTTTACCCGATTAGGCACAGACATTCTACCGCCAGTGTCACCTATTAGACTGGTATCTACACAACCCTTCCTCCTTACGTCCATTCTCATACCCACAGCTGTATCCTTTCTTACTTTGTTTTCTTCCTTCTCAATGTTAAATTCCGGCATGGAGATTACCTGGACATCTCCCAACCATCTCCCCCAAATTCCTAGTTTAAAGCTCTCTTCATCAGTTGCGCCAGCCTCCATCCTAGAAGTCTATTTCCCTCCTTACTCAGGTGAAGTCCATCCCGAGAGAACAGTCCTCTGTCCATGAATGCTTCCCAGTGGCCATACATCCCAAAGCCCTCCTTGTAGCACCACTGCCTGAGCCATCTGTTGATCGCCATAATCTTGTCACACCTTTTTTGCCCTTCTCTAGGAACGGGCAGAATCCCACTGAAGATCACCTGAGCCTCGATTTCCTTAAGCATCTTCCCCAGCCTGGCATAGTCTCCCTTGATACGTTCCAGTGAGAATCTAGCTGTATCATTTGTTCCCACATGAAGGACAATCAGTGGATTCTTTCCCGCTCCCGTTAGGATCCTTTTCAGTCTCAGGTCCACATCCCTTATCTTAGCACCCGGCAGACAGCACACTCTTCTGTTGTCCGGATCAGCTCTAGTTACAGGCCTGTCTATTCTTCTCAGTAAGGAGTCCCCAATCACGTAGACCTGCCTTTTCTTGGTAACGGTGCGATTCTCCGGTCTATCCCCTGCTCCCTCTGGGTGCAAGTCCTCTCGATTTCTATTGTCCCTTGTAATCCTCCGCAAGCCATCCCGTATCCTCCTGGGGCTCATATTTGGTGTTGTTATCTCCATTGACTCTTCCCCTCTTCCTATAGGACTAGCTGCTCTTCTCTTCTTCCTTGCCCTCTCACCTTCAGCAACCATCTGCTGTGCCCCTCCTTCATTTTCCAACTCCTCAAACCTGTTCCTGAGCTCTTTCTCCTTCACTAGCCCGTCTTTTCCTCTGCCTGGTTCTCTTAGTCACATGCTTCCACTGTCCACTTTCCTCACCCAGCAGTTTCCCCTCAGAATTCTGTGGTCCTGTTTCCATCTGTAAGTCTGAGCTTTTTCCTTCAGCCTCCTCATGTCTTTGCTCCATCATCTGCTCGAACCCCCTTCTAAACTCAATCAGAGTTTCCACCTGCATCTCCAATCCTCGGATCTTTTCTTCCATCAGCTCTATCAGGCGGCACTTCATGCAGACGAAACTTTTTTCAGATACCCCCTCCAGGATCATGTACATGCCGCAGCTTCCACATCCAGTCATCCTCATTGTGTCTTCCACTGCTGCCTCTGTATCGGTCATAGACTTCCCACCTAAAACCTGGTAGTCCGCGAAACACAAACCAAACCACCACCATGCACAGAGAAAGGAAGAAAAAAAACACACACACACACAGCAGGCACCAAAACACTGGCACACCACCACCCCCTCCCTTCACTAGCCTGTCTATTCCTCTTCCTGCCTCCCTTAGTCTCCCCCAGAAACTCCCACTGAAACTCCCCTGTTTACAGCTCTGTTTGCTGGCTCCTGTTATAGTTACCTCTTGGACCAGATCCTATGCTCCACTCAGGACTAAATTGAGAATTGCCTCTCTCCTTGTGGGTTCCCGTACCAGCTGCTCCAAGAAGCAGTCATTTAAAGTATCGAGAAATTTTGTCTCTGCATTTCGTCCTAAGGTGACATGTACCCAGTCAATATGGGGATAATTGAAATCCCCCACTATTATTGAGTTCTTTATTTTGATAGCCTCTAATCTCCCTTAGCATTTCATAGTCACTATCACTGTGCTGTCAGGTGGTCGATAATAGATCCCTACTGTTATATTCTTATTAGAGCATAGAATTACTATCCATAGAGATTCTATGGAACATGTGGATTCATTTAAGATTTTTACTTCATTTGATTCTGAATTTTCTTTCACATATAGTGCCACTCTCCCTCCCCCCCCCCTTCCCCCCCCCACCCCCGCACAACCTGTTCTGTCCTTCCAATATATTTTGTACCCCGGAATGATTGTGTCCCATTGATTGTCCTCACTCCACCAGGTTTCTGTGATGCCAATTATTATTATCCTCCTTTAACACAAGGCACTCTAGTTCACCCATCTTATTATTTAGATTTCTAGCATTTGTGTACAAGCACTTTAAAAACTTGTCACTGTTTATTTGTCTGCCCTTTTCTGATGTGTCAGATTCTTTTTTATGTGAATGTTTCTTGTCTGATCTGGCCCATACTTTATCCTCTTCCATCCTCTGCTCCTGACTAGAACCTAGAGAAGTCTCTGTCTGATCCACGTGCTCCTCTGCAGCAATCAGCTTTCCCCCATCTCCTAGTTTTAAAACTGCTCTGCAACCTTTTTAATGTTTAGTGCCAGCAGTCTGGATCCACTTTGGTTTAGGGGGATCCCATCCTTTCTGTATAGGCTCCCCCATCCCAAAAGTTTCCCCAGTTCCTAATAAATCTAAACCCCTCCTCTGTACACCATCGTCTCATCCACACATTGAGACTCTGAAGCTCTGCCTGCCTACCTGACCCTGCGCGTGGAACTGGAAGCATTTCTGAGAATGCTACTATAGAGGTCCTGGATTTCAGTCTCTTTCCTAGCAGCCTAAATTTGGCCTCCAGGACGTCTCTCCTACTCTTCCCTATGTCATTGGTACCTACATGTACCACGACCACCGGCTCCTCCCCAGCACTACACATAAGTCTATCTAGATGCCTCGAGAGATCCGCAACCTTCGCACCAGGCAGGCAAGTCACCATACGGTTCTCCCGGTCATCACAAACCCAGCTATCTACGTTTCTAATGATCAAATCTCCCATTACTAACACCTGCCTTTTCCTAGTGACTGGAGTTCCCTCCCCCAGAGAGGTAACCTCAGTGCGAGAGGATACCCCAACATCATCTGGAAGGAGGGTCCCAACTATGGGAAGGTTTCCCTCTGCTCCCGTTGTCTACTCTCCTTCTCTGAGCCTTTCATCCTCCTTAACAGTGCTGGGGCTGTCTGACCGGAGGTGGAACAAATCTACAGTGTCCCAGAAAGCCTCATCAACATACCTCTCTGCCTCCCTTAGCTCCTCCAGTTCCGCCACCCTGGCCTCCAAAGCCCGTATGCGGTCTCTGAGGGCCAGGCGCTCCTTGCACCGAATGTACACATACGCCACCCGCTCACAGGGCAGGTAATCATACATGCTACACTGAGTGCAATAAACAGGATAGACCCCACTCTGCTGCTGGGCTTCTGCCTGCATTCTCTCCTACAGCTGCCTAAGTTAATGATAGGGTGTTTTTTAAATCAAGAAGTTTTGATTATAGTTAGTTTAAAGGTTTTAAAGAATGGCAAGTGTACCTGGTCGCTGACTCACTGCTTTATAAAGCCCTGGCCTCCCTGATAGCCCCGCCCCCTGACTAAGGCTCAGCCAATGAACAGAGGCTTCTAGCGTTCAAACCTTGTTTAGAAGCTCACAGCTTGCAATTGCCGGCTACAGCACACGGTCCTTCAAACAAACAAACGCAAGCTCAGCACACAGAAAGTAACCTCCCCAAACACAAACACACACTACAGACAGCCACTTACCCCAAGGGTCCAGTATTTGCTCCTCCTTCACCTGGAGAACTTATCTCGAAACTCCTTGTTAGTGGCCCCTGTTCACAAAGCTGGGTATTCACCGTTGTCCCCAACTGCAAACGTTTGTGCTGATCTTTATATCCCTGGGAGTGGGCCCAAGGAGTTCTCGTAGGCATGCACATGTAAACTGGGTTCTGTTCATGCACATGAATGTTTTGTGGGATGTCGCTTTGGTTTGTTTTTAATGAAAGCCAAGCCGCCAAAGCACAATTCTGTGGACTATTCAGCAACGTGAAATCGCAGCATACACAGTAAGGTTATGAATTTAGACACAAGTCAGGGCTTGAAAGAGTTAATGTTTGCAGCTCCATCGCCCAGCCGGAGCATGTCATGGGCCAGGTAAAACTGGATAAACAGGAACATGAGAAGGCTCTGTTGTCAAAGGATAATAGGAACAGAAAATGCACCATCCGCCCAATGTGGCCCAAGTGACATGACCCCAAGAACCGCAGCTTTAGTACCCCTGCCATGGAAGGTTCAGCTTGTCCCTAGCCCGTATTTCGCCTTCCCCTGCTAGAAGACAGTGAAAGGCAGCCTGGGATTGCAGGCTGAGCCTTCCAGCTGCCATAGCACTGTGTGCATGGAGTGTCACCACCCCGCGCCCTCAGCTGGCCTGTGGGCCAGGGCTGTAAGCGCATCCCTGGGCCGGCTCTGGTGAGCAGGGCAGTGAGGAGCCCTGGCGTGGGCTGTGCCATAACCAGCTCTGTGCTGAGCGCAGGAGCCTTCAGGAACGGCACTTCCTGGGAAACAATCCCTCCAAAACCAGCCATTGGGAATTGCTGCCGCTTTGACTCTCCCTCAGTGGGGGACACAGCCCCCAGCCAGGCTTCTCCCCTGCAGTGTCTTCACCCAGAGACACTCCCTTTTGGTCCATTCCCCCTCATCCCCTTGGTATCTCCCTCACCAAGGGACACTGCCCCCCATGCTGACCCTTCATTACCTCCCCTCCCCCAGCACACTCTCCCCCCCGCCCGGCCCAGCTCGGTTTTCATTCCTTAGGAGCACCACGTAACAAGACTGCACAAAAATAGAGCTTTATTGAGGCAAGGGGAGCCATTGTTTGAGTTTCGTGCTCCTGACCCCGGCCAGGGCTCAGCCATTGGCATCGGCGCCCCAAGTGCAACACCACAACAGGCCTCTTCACCACAATGGTGCCAGACGCGACTGCTGCAGCGGTGCTGGGTGACCAGAGCCCAGCTGGGCTGTGTTAAAGGCTGTGGAGAGAGTGTGTTCACATGTGTGTGCGTGTAATTGGGATCACATGTTTGCACACATGCACACACGCTCACACAGAGCACTGCAGTCTGTACAGTCCAAGGGTTGCACTGTGCCCCAGCACAGGACTCATTCTGGCTTCGCCTGGCCCTGGCCCAGAGCCAGTCTGGAGCCCCAGTAGCTGGCAATGAGGTCGCAGTTGTGGTACAGGAACATCCCCGAGAGGGTGAGGCCGATGCCCGCGTAGCTGAGCCCGCTCAAGTGGCTGCCAAAGAGGAGGTGTGACAGCACCAGGTTTCCCACCACATTGAAGTTGCCCAGGATGTGGATGGTGAGGGCGGAGGTCAGCGAGATGACGCAGAAGCTGGCCAGGTTGTAGAGGACGGAGCCCAGGCAGCTGAGCAGGACACAGGCCCAGAGAGCGCTGCCGTAGTGCAGCATGCCCTCCCAGGCTGCCCCCACCTCCAGCACCACAGCCGCTGTGAAGAGAATGCAGAAGCTGGGCAGGGACGTCAGGCAGAGCAAGGTGACAGAGTCCAGCCTCTTGTCCTGCAGCAGGGTACCTGGAACCAAGACGGACAGGTCACACCTGGGCGGTGCATGCAGCAGAGGTAGGGAGGGTAGGCTTGCCAGGTATCCAGTTTTTGACCGGAATGCCTGGTTGAAAAGGAACCCTGGCAGCTCCAGTCAGCACTGCCGACCGAGATGTTAAAAATCCGGTTGGCAGAGTGCTGCAGGTCTAAGGCAGGCTAGTCCCTACCTGTCTTGGCACCGCACTGTACCCCTAGGTGCCCCGAGCACCAGCTCTGCACTCCCATTGGCCAGGAACCACGGGCGAGATAAGCGCGTGGAGCCTCCTGGCCCCTCCACCTAGGAGCTGGACCCGCTGGCTGCTTCCGGGGCACAATGCGGTGCCAGGGCAGGCAGGCAGCCTGCCTTAGCCCTGCTGCGCCGCTGACCAGGAGCTGCCCAAGGTAAGCTCATGCCCCAACCCCCTGCCCCAGCCCTGAGCCTCCCCCAAACCTGGAGCCCCCTCCTGCACCCCAAACCCCTTAGCCCCAGCCCAGAGCCCCTACCCCCTCCTGCACCCCAACCCCCTGCCTCAACCCACAGTCTGCTCTTGCAGTCTGAATCCCTTGGCTCCATACCCCATCCTGGAGTCCCCTCCTGCACCCCAAACCTCTCATCCTCGGCCCCAGCCGGAGCCCTCACCCCTCCCACACCCCAATTCCCTGCCCCAGCCCAGAGCCCCCTCCCGCACCCTGAACCCCTCATTTCTGGCCCCACCCGGAGCCCCTTCCCGCACCCCCAACCCCCTGCCCCAGCCCAGTGAAAGTGAGTTAGGGTGGGGGAGAGCTAACCACCAAGGGAGGGGGAATATAGTGAGTAGGGGCGGGGCCTTGGGGAAGGGGTGGGGCATGGGGCAGGGCTAGGGTGTTCAGTTTTGTGCTATTAGAAATTTGGCAACCATAAGCGAGGGGGTCAGTGAGCAGGGACCTCACCGCCAGGGCAGAAGGAGCCTGGCAGAGGAGACTGCCCCAGGAGCAGGGAGCCCCTGGCCTTCAGGCCCGTCCCAGTGGGGCGGTCAGACTAAAGAACACAAGCAATGGAGACTTGGTACCAGTTCAGATCTAGGTCAGGGCCTACATCCCTCCCTGCCCACGGCACCCCGCAGACACTCCGCATGCGGTCAGGGCCGGTGCAAGGAAGTTTCGTGCCCTAGGCGAAACTTCCACCTTGCGCCCCCCC